GTCACACCAAGATGGGAATGGGAATTGGAAGCAGGGGACAGGCTGATGGAATGTYGCGAGTGTTTGTGTGAGCCAAAACACGGGATAGGGAAGGTGCTTGGAAGTGGTGCACGTCGGATACGGCCCCGTAATGCAGCGGGAGTGATCGATGGCAAACGCAATTGCTCAGGTATCTGGCAGAGCCCTAAAGAGGCCACATCTGTCCTTAAGCTGCTCTTGGGGTAAATGTGTCCCAGTGCTGCCTGGCGTGGGCTGGGTGCCRTGAGGATGAGAGCCGGGGAGGGAAGCGCCGCCCCAGCGTGATCCTTGCCGGGATTCGGGCTAGCTCCTGGGATGCCCTGGCACCTGCAGCACTTCCCGCCTTGGAAAAAAAGGGGGAAAAAGAACAAAAGGTCTGTTGTGGCAACCGGGCTGTCGCGAGCGCCTGCAAACAGAGCTGCAGCTCCCGGCGCCGCTCCGCAGCTCCCTTTCAGGAAGTTTTCCTCATGGTGCCGGCTGATCCTGCGGCAGCTCCTCCTGCGGGGGGGTCAGCGGCRCGGGGCATCCCTGGTCCCACGGTGCCGGAGCCGGCGGGATCACGCTCGGGAGCCGCGCCGGCTTCTGTCGGCTCCACATTCCTCTCCCGCTCCTTGTGCAATGGGCTCGTTTTTCCTCTGGATCCAAGGAAGTTCGCCTTGGAAGCGGTGGGATTGTGAGGACGAAATAAACCTGCTAAGTGATAACATAAGTGATAAGCATAAGTGATAAACCCGCTGCCGACGTCCGGGTTTCCCAGTTTATTCTCTTCCCTCCCTCCCGTTGTTCTTTGTCGCCCTGCAGCTACTTGGCTCTAGTTGGGGCTCGCGGGTAGCACCATCCCCACCACGGATTGCTCGGCCGCAGCACCCSAATTTGGGGCATTTCAATTAGTATTTCATTATTATCGCTATTATTATTATTATTGCATATTCTGGCGTTTTTGGTGTTGTGTATTATTATTATTATTGTTATCGTTATCGTTATTATTGCATATTCTGGTGTCTTTTGGTGTTGTGGATCCTCSCTGGGCTTCCCGTCCTTGCCGGCCATGGCGCCCGCTGCCCGGGGCTCCGTGGGTGCCACCGGGCGGGATTGATGCTTCCCTGGCGCCGGTACCGGCTCTCTGGGCATCCACACCATGCCCAGACATGGGAATTCTGCGTTTCCGTGCACGTCTCCCACCCTCCATCTCTTCATCGCCTTCCTCCGCCCGGACCGGCTTTTGGGCTCAGTGTAGCAGCAAGGAGATGGGGGCTTTGCCAGCTCGGCCCCCAACCTGCTGGAAAACCCACTGGAATCCCCCCCCCCCCCCCCCCCCCCCCCCCCCCCCCCCATCCCGTTTTCCCAGCGCTCGGCTTCTCCAGCCCGCAAGGTCCCTTGGCAGCAGCGCTGGGGACAGGCCAGACTGGGGCCGAGATTCCCACTCTGGCTCTTGGAGCATCTTGGAAAAGGGATCCCCGAGCCGCCGTCCAGGTGCGCGGTGCTCCTGCCAGTGCCCCCTCCTAGTTCTGAAGAAGGAAACCCTATGGATATTGTTTGGCCGGGAAAGGGAAGTGAGCGCATGGAACGGGCCCGTCCTCCGCGCCGGCCGCTCCGCAATCTGTTTTTTCCGGTTTCTGGGCTGCTCTAAACAACCGGGCTGGGTTCGTGGCCCCGCTCCAAGCCCTGGGCTCCGGCTCCACTGGCTCCCGCGGCGACTCCAGGTGACTTCTGCTGCTCCCGCAGCGCCCGCGCGGCCCCGCACCTGGGAAGGGAGCGGGACCACGAGCCCTGGCCGGGAAAAACAGCTCTGCRGGGCCCGACTCTAATTGCTAGTCGCCTAATTTTATTGATTTCAAATCCCTTTTAGCGGAGCTCCTGCTCTGAGGCTGATCGCCAGGGCGATTAGGCCCCAAAGCCGCTTAATTTGGAAGTGTTTATCGGGCTGCCTTCTGTCACCTCCGCTTCGAGTCAAACGGCGGCGGCGGCGTCTCCCTCGGTGCCGGCTGCGCGCGGGGCCGGCCCAGCCCGGCGCTCTGCTCCGGCGGCCTGGGCAGCCGCGTCCCACTGCGGAGCATCCCGAGTGTCCCCTGCGGAGCATCCTGTGTGTCCCACTGCGGAGCATCCCGAGTGTCCCCTGCGGAGCATCCTGTGTGTCCCACTGCGGAGCATCCCGAGTGTCCCCTGCGGAGCATCCCGAGTGTCCCCTGCGGAGCATCCTGTGTGTCCCACTGCGGAGCATCCCGAGTGTCCCCTGCGGAGCATCCCGAGTGTCCCCTGCGGAGCATCCTGTGTGTCCCACTGCGGAGCATCCCGAGTGTCCCCTGCGGAGCATCCCGCGTTTCCCCTGTGGAGCATCCGGTGTGTCCCACTATGGAGCATCCTGTGTTTCCCTTGCGGAGCATCCCGTGCATCCTGCTGCAGAGCATCCCACGTGTCCCACTGTGGAGCATTCTGAGTGTCCTGCTGTAGAGCATCCCATGCATCCCGCTGTGGAGCGTCCCGTGCATCCCACTACAGAGCATCCCACATATCCCAATGTGGAGCATCACATGTGTCTTCTGCAGAGCATCCCGTGTGTCCCCTGCGGAGTGTCCCACTTGTCCCCTGTGGAGCGTCCTGCTTCCCCCACCCGCCTCTGCCCAGATCGCTCTGGGGACCGGGGTTCTTTCCCAGGGCAGCTGGAGTGGGCACCTCTTCAGGGGCATTTTCTGGGCATCCCKYGCGCRTGGCCTGGGAGCAGCGCACGGAGARCGGAGCAGGAGGGGCCGTAGGACCAGGGCGCCCCGTGTCGCCCATCGCCACCCCACGTGGGCACGGAGCCCGGGGCTCCACGTGCCCCTCGGCTGCCGTAGCCTGCAGGGAGACACCCACAACGGGGCAGGAAGAGCAGAACCCAAAGGAAGCTCCCGCGTCGGAACCCAACTGGAGCCAGAGTTCCCTTCCGGATCCCCCTTCAGCTCCAGGGATACGCGGAAGGGATCCTGGAAGAGTGGGTYGCGCGGCCGCTGGAGACTTCTTCCGAATCTGCCACTAAACTCGAGCAGATGCTGATCGCCCGCGCCGGGAGCTKGTGACGGGGCTGCTCCCTCGGCTCTCCCGGGCTCCGCAGCAAAAGTCATTTGAAAGAAAAAAAAATTGCTGTCTGACAGCTACATCTTATTCTATTAGTACATTTTAATTAGAACACGAGCAAGAAATGCATTATGAATATTCATGATGAGGGTTATTAAAATGCACAATTAATCTGTGCGCTTTTTTCTTTTTTTTAATAACTGTATTAATGGAAGGAGGCGGCTGTTCCTTTTTTGGCGTTTTCCGACTTGGAAACGTGCCTCGGGTCGCTGGGAGACGCGGATCCGCGAGAGGCACACGGAGCTCGCGGGAAAAGGCCTGGGATGGCGGGAGCGCYGAAGGACGGAGGGGAGAAGGAGCCTTTTTGCTGCCCCCTCGCAGTGCTTGGCACCACCCGCTCTGGGCAGCCCTGGCAGGGCTTTTCCCGCAGGGATTCTGCCCAAAGCCCCACGCTGGCCTTGCGGGCGCCCCCCACGTCCCCTGCGCGACAGCCCTTGGCCATCGAAGGTGGCCGCAAGGGGCAGCTCGGGAGTGACCCAGTCCCGCGAGGAGGACGGCACGGGATGGAGCCGGAGCCGGGGGGATCGCTGCCCGCCCGCCTGCCGCGACAGTGAGCGCCGCAACGCCCCGAAAACACTCGTGGATGCCCAAACGCCCCGAAAACACCMGTGGATGYCCAAACGCCCCCAAAAAAACCCTGGAAACGCAAATGCCCTGAAAACACCCATGGACACCCAAGCGCCCCGAAAACACCCCTGGAAACCCAAACGCCCCAAAAACACTTGTAGAAGCTAAAACGCCCTGAAAGTGGCCACAGAAGCCCAAACACCCTCAAAACCGCCATGGAAGCCAAAACTCCTTGAAAATGTCCGTGGAAGCCAATACACCCCGAAAACACCCGTGGAWGCCCAAACTCCTTGCAAATGTCTGTAGAAGCCAATACACCCCGAAAACACCCGTGGAATCCAATATACCCCGAAAACACCCGCGGATGCCCGAGCGCGGCTGGCGCGGGCGGCGCTGCCCAGGGCACCGGGCGAAGCACAAGTTTGTCCTGGCAGGGAGGAGGTGGCGGAACTGGCAGTAATTCTCCCTAGGATCCGAGGTATTATTAGAGGCTTATCCCTGCTCTGCACAGTAATCACATTGGAAATTTTTGATTAGAAAACAAAATCTAAATGAGGCGTATGAATATTCATGAGGTGTGGAGATTAATATGCATAATTATGCAAATTAGACAGCAATTAAACACCAATTCTCGGGGGAAATGATTAACACAAAGGCACCGAAATAGAAGGCTGTAATTTGAAAGAAGTTTCTGGTTAAATGAGCAGTAAGGGGAGCGGAGGAGGCGGCTCCGCGGCGTGTTTGCCATGATAATCAGTGGGGCTGAAGCGCCGTCCGGGGCGCCCCGCTCGCTCCCACCCAGCCCCGCTTTGCAATCACCCGCCAAATCGCCGGCTCTCCAGGCTCTCGGTCTGTGGCTTGGAAAGGGCAAAAGCGCCGGATCTGGGGGTATCCGCAGGGAGCCTGCGCTTGGAGAGGTGCAGGAGGGCCGGGAGCCGCCGCAGCCGCTCGCTGATGCCGCAGGGCCCTGGTGCAGCCAGAGCCTGGGGGTGTCTGCAGTGAAACCCCCTTGCAAGCGTGGCCGAACGGCGGCCGAAGCACCGCGCGGTTCTGGAGGCTGCTCTGACCCTTTGGGTGCCCTTGAGTGCCTGGGGAAGGTGGACGCTGCACCCCTGGTCCTGCYGTGCGCGTCGTGGCACCGAGCGGGAAGGTGCAGGCAGCGCCAGGGCGGCTCTGGAAGCGCTTTAGTAATGAAAATACCCTCGTGTTTGTGGAAGGAAGAGTTCGTTTTGCGAGAACACCTTTGAGGCTTTGCTGATAAAGCGAGAGTAACCTTTGCTCTTCCTGTTTTTTTCCCCTAGGTTTGGATGAAAGACCGGGATCAGGTTCCTGGGGAACGGGAGATCAAAACAGCTCCACGTTTGACCAAGGAAGGGTAAGGACGAAGCATAAACACGGAGGCCAACAAAAATAAACGGGGCTTTGAGGAGCATTTCCCAGCCCCTGTGCTTGGGCCGGGGTGGGTTCCACGCTGAAAGAGGGGTTTTCGCCCCGTTTTAGATGGGGGACAAGGTGGCCCTCGCCTGGGGGACATCGCTGACGGATGAGAGGTTTGGAAGGAATCCCGGCTGCGACAGCTGAAACTGGGGCCTGAGGAGGGGAAGGGCGGGAGGACACGGATGTGGTTGAAATGGGGCTCGAACAGATGCTCCCGTTTTGCCGGGTCTGCGACCCGTTCCGCAGCGGCACCGTCCCCTGCCCGGGCTGGCGCTGCGGTGGCCACCGACCGGGCCTCCCCGTGTCCTCGCGTGGCCCTGACAAATGTCCCCTGTCCCTCCAGCAGAACTATGGTGAAGGGCCCCACTAYGGAGAGCACCGGGAGCTGCCGTCTCACAACAGCCTGTCCTCCTCGCCGTTCCTGGGGCCGGGACTGGTGGGTAAGTGCCACGGATCCCTGCTCAAAGCGGGTGGCGTTGGACACGGTGAGCACCTGGGCCGGCCACAACCGTCCTGTCCCATCCAGCCCTCTCCAGAAGGTGCCGTGGAGGCTGTGGTTGGAGGCTGCCGCGTGGAGGCTCCGGCAGCCCCACTCGCGTGCAAGGACGTGGTTCTGTGTGTGGAGTGACACTGCCCTGTGCTGCGGTGGTGGTGCCCATCCGCAGGGCCCCACGKAGGCTCCGCAGGGCAGTGGTGACACTGCCCTGKGCTGCGGTGGCACCGCCTGTCCCCAGGGCCCCACGGAGGCTCCGCAGGGCGGCGGGGCCCCGGTGTCCCCGCCTGGCACATGTTGCTGTGGGGTGACCAGAGGGAGCTGGCTCGAGGCCGTGCTCGGARGCGGTGCCAACGCGCAGGTGCCACCGCCTCCGTCCCCGCATCCTCCCTCGCTGTGACCTTCTGCGGGGCCGGGGAGCTGGGCGCAGAGTGGGGCGGACGTGGGGACTTGTCCCTGTGTCCTGCTCGGGCTGAGCCCCGTCCTGCCCCTGCGTCGCACAGACCGGGCTCCACCCGGTCCCCTTTGCCCGGTGCCTCCCCAAACTTGGAGGTGGAAGGGGAGATTAAGAACCAAAAACACCCATCCCAAAGGGCTTGGAGAGCCCTAAGGGCGTTAGGCAGGAACTGGGATGAGGCCTCAGCAGCTGGCGCTGCGGGACATGCGAGGGCAGCGCAGCGGAGCCGGGAATTGCGTCCAGGGCAGAAAAGCCCCACGAGCAGCAGAGGTTCCTCCTGCGGCGCCGCTACTTGGAAAGGGGAAGCGCGGAGCGGCGGGCAAGGAAGCAGGTGTCCGCGCTCTTCCTCCTCGCGCGCCGCGTCCCGCTCCCCTCCGCGGCGGGCGGACACTTGGAATTTCCCCCGGGGTCCTGCACGGACAGGCAGAGCTGGGCTTGAACCCAGCGGTGCCGCCTGGGRCCAGGGCCTCCGCTGGCGCCTGCAGCTCATCCCGAGAGCTGGGGCTGAGGCACGGGGGGGCCGGTGCTTTGGGGCGCCCAGAATCCCGGGCTGCTCCCAGAGGGCCCGTCCAAGCAGGCGGCGGCTCCCGTTGGGTGCTTGGGTGCTCCTGGGGGCTGCATCCCCCCGGCGCATCGCGCGTGTCCGCGTCGTGCTCGGCTCCCAAACTGCACGTGGTTGAGCTGGAAAACACCGGCGCCTGGAGCAGATTCCGGAATAACTAACTTTGGGGGCCAAAGGAGGAGCCCGGAGCAGGTTTCCCCTTCCCGCTCTGCTCCCCAGGTGGCTGCAAACGCTGCCGGAGCGGAGAGGACAAGTGGAGGTGAGAGGAATGAGGCCGGGGGCTTGCCCGCCGCTCTGCACGTGGCAGCAGGAAGCCAAGAGGAGGGAAGCGGACGGGAAACGTGGCGAGGCTGCCTCTGGTTTCCAGGATTCCCTTTTTGAGGGGAACCAGCTGGGAAAGCTGACGCTAACGGGGTGACCTAGTGGAACTGGTGAATTTTAAAGCAGGAGGAGGCAGAGAGAGCAGATCGGGGCTGTCAGGTGCTTGGGATAGATGAAAGATGCACGGACTGTTTTCGAAGCCCTTCAGAATCCAAATCTAGATCCGTTTCTTACTGTTTTTCAAGGGGGATTCGAACCCCCTGGAGGAAATATTCCAAGGGGAACGTGGCCTATGCCGGTTGTAGCGGGAGAGGCTGAGCCGAGAGGGCTCTGCAAAGAAGCCCTGGGTTTTGGCTTCCCTCGTTAGCCGGGGCACTGCCGCAGTGAGAGGAGCCCCGGAAAGACGGACCCAGGAATGCAATTCCCGAGGGAATTGTCTCACCTTTGCGCTTCTCCCCAGCAGCGGGGTGCAGGGAGCATCGCAAGGTGCCTGCATCACGCTGCAGACCTTGAGTGGGATTTCTTCTTAAAAGTCCCCTTTTTTACCATTCGTCTGTAGTGGAGGCAGGGGGGGGTTGTTTAAACAGTGGGGAAGCCAATAAGCCCTAAGAGATTTCCTTCTAGTAATTATTTAGTAATTAGCTGCTTCTCAGGGAAGGCCTTCTAATCGTGGGGGTAGCGCGGGCAGTTGGGCTCTTCCTGGCCAGCGGATTTAATCTGGCTACGGGTGGGGCTTGTTAATGCTCCCCTTTTTTCTTTTTTTTTTCTTTTTTTTTTCAATTTTCCAAGTTAAATTTGCAATTTTTCCGAGTTAAATTTGCATTTTTTCCAAGTTAAATTTAAAGTTTTTCCGAGTCAAATTTGCAKTTTTTCCGAGTCAAATTTGCAGCATTTGCTGCCCGTCCCGTTAGAGCCCCGCGCAAGGCGCTCGCCCGCCCGGTTGGCGGCAGCGCCCGCGGGGCCGACGGCCTCTTCCTCGTAAAGTCGCCTCCGTGGTGCCCGACGCCGCGCAGACCAGAGTGGCCAACAGGTTATTGCCACCGAGCGAGCGCTTTGTTCCTGACGTGAGTCGAGTAAAGCACAAAAGGAGAAACCTCGGAYGAAAGTCACAGGTTTGGGGTATTTTTTTCCTTTTTTTTCTTCTTTTTTTGGAGGAATATTGTGCACATTTGTGCACATTTACTCTGGTTTGCAATCTCTGTTTTATTTTCCCSCCATCAAGCGTGTGCCAGGACCGCCTGGTAAGAGGTGCGGGGCTTGGCCTGTCCGGCCGGCGGCGCAAGGAGCCCTGGCGCTCGCTGACGGGCTGCTCCGGAGGGAATCGCTCCGGTTTTGCTCCCGTTCGGAGCRATCACGCCGGGCCCTGGGGCGCAGCCCGCGGAGCTATTTCCATCGCGCTGCTGCAGCAAATATAGCAGCTAAGAGCTTTAAAAATTAGGTCATTTAAGAGATCCGGCCTCTGCCGTCCTGACCTCCGTTTACTTAACGCTTAAGCCTCTGAAAGGAAGTGGGAATGGGGAGTGGGAAGGTGAGGAGGGTCCAGCGGTACTCGGATCCTTCCTGGGCTCTCGCCTGGCAAAATCCTTTCTCCCATCTCCATCCCCAGCGGCACCTTCCGCTGCAATTGTGGCAGTTAAAAGCACTGAGCAGTTCCTGGCGTGCTTGCAGACACGCAGATTTTTACCTTTTGTGCAGAAGTGCCCCATTCCACCCAAAAAACCATCACATGTTGCATTGGGGAGGAGGAAACCCCAAAGCCAGGGGTGGTCCCAGAATCCCGGCTGGTGCTGGCTGCTCCGCAAGGATGTTTCCGAGTGGAATCATCCCAACCAGTGCTCCTTGCTTCCTTCTCCTCTCCTTCCCCCCRTTTCCCCGGAACCGCTATTTGCGGCAGCGCGTGGGTAGGGCGCCGCTCGGCACAGTTCCCGCGTGGGAGCTGCTCCGGCCGGGAGCAGCGCCGGGAAGGGAGGCAGCGATTCGGGTTCTGTATCTGGGGCAGGGCGGGAGCCCCTGCCCGGCCCGGGGGGTTTCCCTGCACCCAGAGGGCTTTGGGAATTCCTTTCTTTGTCCGGATCAGCGGCAGCCAGATTCCATGGCCGCAAGCGCTGCCCCTCGGGGCGGCTTTTCCATGGCCTTTGCCGGGGGAGCCGCTGATTTCGGGACGAGCTCTTAGCCGCCCTTGTTGCCTCTGCGGTAACGGGCGGAAAAAGCCACATTTTGGGGGTGCCTCTGCCCCTCYGGGCTGGCAGCAGGGTGAAAACCTCCACGTCCCGCTCAAAACGTGGGGTTTTTGTGTCCCCTCTCCAGGGAAGAGCAGCGAAAGAGCCTCCTACTCCACGTTCGGAAGAGACGCGGCGATGCCGGGGCTAAATCAGGTAACAGCGCCAAGGGTTGCAGCGCTCGCTGCTCGGAGGGGAGAGCTCGGGAACGGGAACAGGGACCGGGAAGTCACCTCAGGCCTCGCATCCCGCCTCCGTGTCCCACATCCCGGCTGCCCTGCTTTGCATGAAACCTCCCAGGGACCAGAACATCCTCCTTGGGCACAAGGGGCCTCGCGCCGTATTCCCTCTTTAGGGATGGATCCGCATCCTGCTGCGGCATCGCGTGGCAGTGGCCTGGCCCGAGGGAGGGTCTGTCCCCCGGGACCGGCGTGCCCGTGGGCACCCGCCTGGCGCACGCTTTAATTGTGCACGAATTTGTCATCGTTCCCTCTGCTCTGCACCGAGGGTGTCTCCTCGGCGGGAGCAGCTGGGCCGGCTGCCCGTGCCAGCGCGGGTGGAATCCACCCCTGAAGCTGCTAAAATGCAAACGGGCCCGGTGCCAAGGCCCTCTTTAACGTGATGGTTTCGCGGAGCTTGGGCGGGGGAACCGGGGCCCAGGGGAGGTAACCGGAGCAGGGTGGGCAAATGGCCCTGCCGGCGGCGAGGGGCCCGGCCGCGCCGATGCCAACGGGACACAGACCCCTTGTCACCCTCCAGCAGTTGTTGCTCCCCTTCCCGGGGCCGTTTCAACCTGCTTTTCCACGAAAAGAAATCCCCAAAAGGGCTGCTGGCAGGTGCTTTGCACATGCACCGCTCCCTGTGCGGGCACGTTCTTCCCCATCCKCAGCTCCCTTCCAGGGGGTGGGAAAAGCCCTTTTTTCTGCAGGAAAATGCCTTAAAACGCACGCGGCGCTGAGGCGGAGCGGGGCTGCTGCTGCGGCTCGCGCGGCTCCCGGCTTTCCCTGCGGCACGCAGGAAACCCGAGCGCGGCAGCACATCGCAGGAATGTCACCAGCTGCGAGCGCACGGGCTGCTCCTTCCCTCCGCGAGCCCTTGGAAAGCGGCCGGGTTGCCCCTTGTCCGAGAAGCCCCAAATCTTCCTTTCCTGCGGTTTATCCCCCTCTGAAGGTGGATGGGAACYCCGCTTCGGCTCCCTGCCAGCTCCCCAAAATGTCAAAGCGGGGCCTGCRGCTCGGGCTCAAGGTGCCCGCGGCRGCTTTGGGTCTGTGGGTGCGTGGGGTTTGTGCCAAGGCGGCTGCAGGCCGGCGCGGGGCGCGTTGCAGGGCTCCTTCCCACCACCAACCTTCTCCACGGCCTTTTTTGCAGCCCGGATTCCTGCCCGGCGAGATGGGCATGGCGAGCCCCAGCACGCTGTCCCCCACCGGCGCCAAGGGGGGCTCCCAGTATTTCTCCTACCCCAACAACCCCCGCAGGAGAGGGGCCGAGAGCAGCCTCGGTGAGTGACACACCGGCCTCGTGTCCCCAGCGGAGCCAGTCCCCCTGCAAAACGAGCCCCCCTGCTCCCAACGAGGCTCCAGATAGGGGTGCCCCGAGCCCCGACGAGCCCCAGTTCTCCAAAACAGGGGGTCTCCGCTCCCTCCCCGCCCCGGAGCCGCTTCTCTTGCTGCTATTTTGGGCTTTCCCCAGCAAACGAAACCAGAAGCAGCCTAGCGGGACGTGCGTTTTTTTTCCAGCTCTTTTCAGAAAAACGCATCTGCTTTGATACTTGAAAGTTAATTTGCTGCTTTAAAAATGTCGCCGTTTTCAGGTTTCAGCCTGGGAAATGCATTTTTTGTTCTCCTTTTTGGTTTGCACTGGCTCGTCCCGGGTGTTGAGTTTCTCCTGCTCAGCTCCCCCCGGGCGGACTCGCCCCCCTTGCCCCTTCCCTTCCCCACATGGGGCTTTCCTTGCTTCTGAGCTAAAACAGAAAGAGAAACTCCCCAGTTTTTAACCAGTGCTTCCTCTTGGAACACTCCTTCTCCCAGCACCACCCGGATATTTCCCGCCTTCCTCCCCAAAACGCGAGGTCTTCCCTCCGAGCCGGAGCCCGGGCAGGGGAGCGCGGGAGGACCGGGCCGGGCTGATGCCCCCTTCTCCTAGCAAGGCCTTTTCCCAATTAATTATTTTCTAAGTCACAAATGAAAACACAAACCCATCCACGTGTTTCCTCTAATTCTGGGCAAATTGTCTGCAAAACAAAAGATACCTCTAGAAAAAACTCACCAAGGGTGGATGTTTTTTACGGGCTCGGTGGCTTTGGGAGAGCAAGCGCAGCCCTGCGCTCCTTGCCGAGCCCGGAGGGAGAGGGAGAACTCCTGTCTGGCCGGGTGAAACCCGCCCGCAGAGCGGGACGAGGGCTCGGCAGCACGAGCAGAGCGTCGCCCTCGCTCCTGCGCTCCGGTGTCGCCCCTGGGTGCTGAGGGCAAATCCACACGTGGGGCGCCGGGCGGGTTTAGCTGCCGCTCGGTGCCTTGTCCCCCCGGTGCGTTTCGGGGAGCTCCTCCCTCCAGTCTGATGCTCTCTTGGTTTCTCTCCACCAGATGCGCAGCCCAAGAAGGTCCGCAAGGTGCCCCCGGGCCTCCCCTCCTCGGTAAGTGATCCCGCATCCCGCTCCAAGGGGCTCTGCCCTCTGCCGTAGGGACCTCCCAGCTGCTCCTCATCCGGGTGGCCCTGCGCTTGCGGGTTTTGGGCTACCAAGGACAGAGGGATCGCGGAGGGAAGGGAGGATGGGAGCCACGTCGGGACCTGCTGCCGGGGACTCTTGGGGTRGAGCTGGGAATCTCGCCTGCAGCCGGGAAGGCCGCGATGCTCTGGAAGGAGCTGCTTAATAGGAAAAATTCCTATTGGACTGGGAATTGTTCCCGCACCACCTCGGGTTTCCGCGTGAAATTGGGAGCCGCTGGGCGCCATGTGGGGCGGCCGCCGCTCCCAGCAAATGGCTGTTCATTGGCCTCGGGTKTCAAAGGTGAGGGAGGCGTCAGGCCCCTTCCCGCGGGATGCAGCGCGCGGYGCCTGCAGGAATTCCAGCCGTCTCCGTGCAGAACAAGGGGCTGAGGGGCGTCGTGGGCAGCGCTCGGCCTGCGGCCGCGGCGCCCGTCGGGGGAGCCAGGGCGGCACAGCAGGGCRATCCCAGCCGGTGCGGGGGCCAGAGCCCCCCTTTCTGTCAACCCTCCACGAGGAGCGGAGCGGGGCCGAGGAGCGCGGCGGGACCGGCACAGGATGGCAGCCCAGCCGGKGTCCGCCGGCAGCTCCGGAGCATCCGGCACGGCCCCCGCTCCGCTGCGGACGGGCTCAAAGCAGGGCCGCCATCCCCGTGGATGCTCCCGCTGCGGCGGTGCCTGCGGAGGGCCCCAATGGATGCGGGAATGCCAGTGGATACGCAGGGAGGAGGGACTCGGAGCCAAACGTTGTGAGCCCCCCGGGACCCGCGGCGCGTCGGGGGCCCCGCGCAGCTGCCGCCCGCGCTGGCCGCGCGCCAGCGCTGCCAGGTGCCGCGGGGCGCTCAGACGGGCGCTGCTCCAGGCCCTGGCTCCCGACACTTAATCAAATTAGAGGAAAAGGCAATTTGCCGATCCGTGTTCCTCGCGGCCGCCCCAGCCCCGCGCGAGCCCCCAAGCGCAGCACCAGGGCACAAACGCTTCCCGGTTTAGTTTTCCAGCATGGGGCAGCTGTCTGCATCTATCCACATTTTCCCTTCCCCCTTTCCATCTCTCTCTCTTTTTTTCTTTTCCCTTTTTCCCCCTCTTTTCATTTCCCTTCCTTCCCAACCAGCTCCGCGGTGCAAACACCAGGCACCGGCAGAGGAAGATGCTCCCAGGTCACGGCAGCCACTGGCTGCCCTCACAACCCAGGAAAACTCGGCAGGGGAAAGGCCTATTTTTCCCCTTTTCTTTGTTTATTTTTCATCCCTTTTTCCTTATCGATGGAATAAAAAGGCAGAAATTTCCCAGTTTTCCCTCTCCTGCCTCATCCCACTGGGATGTCAGGAAGGGGAAACTCAAGGCAAGTTTCTCTTGCCAGGCGGGCGGCGCGGCCCCGGCGCCAGCCTCAGCTTTCGCAGGTTTTTAACCAAAAAAGCAGCCCGGTTTCGGGATGAGTCGGCAATGATGCAAACAGGCCCTGTCAGGGGCTCTCACGTAATTTCGGGTGCCATTTCGGTTTCTTTACGCATCGGATTTCTACTTAAAACCTAGGTGTTTTCACGCAGCCTTCGGTAAAGGCTTTCTAGGATGGGTTTAGTTACTTAAAAAAGAGAGAGAGAAAAAAAGAAACCACGGCTTTTTTTTTTTTTAGTGCTTTAAGTGCTGCTAAATAACACACCTGGGTGGCACTGCCCAGAGCTTGATGGGAAGCTCCATGAGCGGAGCGGAGCGCCTCCCATCAAAGCAACTGCTCCGCTTCGAGCACCCTCGTTTTGGGGTCTTCCCAATGTTGGGTTTTGCCTCCTTGGCTCCAGAGGGTCTCCCTGGAAAGGGGTTGAAGCCTGGGGTCCTAAGACCTCTGGCCGCCATGGGAGGGTGTCCCTCCTGCCTCGCTTTCCCCTGCTGCTCCTGCGCGGAGGGAAGCTGATCCCTGCAGATGGTTTGGGAAGCCRAGCACCTCCCGGATCCGGCCCCAGCCCCTGGACGCTGTTGGCTTCACGTCCAGAAAGAACTGCTCTTGTGGTCACCCATCAAAATCCTGACCGCAGAAAAGGGAGCTGGGGAGCTGACAGCGCTGCCGGGGCAGGGCCCTGGCGGGAGGGCAGGGGGGCATCGGGGCTCGAGATCCACTTTCCCTGGGACTCCCAGCGCAGCCCAGTGCCTCTCGWGCGGGTCCAGGGGACACCGTGAGCGGCACAGTTGGGCATGAGGGGCCRCGGGTTTCCTGCCCGGTCTGGGCTCTGCTCCATGGCCTCCCTTGGGCTCGGCCGCTTCCTTCCCTGGGCTCCCGTGGGAGAGGCCGGACGGGGGCTCTGCGCAGGCTGGGGTCCCCGCGCCCTCCTCAACGTCTCCCCTGCTCTCTCCAGGTGTATCCATCCAACTCAGGTGATGACTTCAGCAGGGACCCGGCCGGATATCCCCCCTCGAAACCCGCCAGCACTGTGTACCCCGGAGCCTTCTACATGGCAGGTCAGGCCCTGGCCCGCGGCGGCGGCGGCGGCTCCGCGCGGCCCCGCTCACCGCTCACCGCTGCGCGCTCGCCTTGCAGACGGGCTCCACTCCTCGCCCGACCTGTGGAGCTCCCCCGGCGCCATGAGCCAGGCGGGGTACGGGGCCATGCTGGGCAGCTCCTCCTCCCCGCTCCCGCAGCCCGGCGCCTTCAGCAGTTTACACCAGCACGAACGAATGGTACCGTGTGCGGCGCCGTCCCCGCGCGCGGCCTCTCCCGGCGGCACCGCGGCACGGGACGCGGCGGGCGCTGCAGCCCCGCAGCCTCTTGAGGGCTTCTCCGGCGCTTCTCCCCGCAGAACTACCAGCTGCATTCAGGAGAGGTCAACGGGGGGCTGCCCTCCGTGTCCGGCTTCTCCTCCGCCTCCACGCCGTACGGCGTCTCCAGCCACACGCCGCCCATCAGCGGGACGGACACCATGATGGGTACGTGCGGCCCGGCAGCTCCAGCTGCCCCAGTGCCCCCTTCCTCACGCTTCCCTTTGCCCCATGGCCAAGGTGCGGGGATGGAGCAAGGAGACCCCGACCCTCCCTCCATGTCCTGTGTCCCGGACACAGGCCTGGGCTTATTCCATGCAGAAGAGACTCAGGTTCCTGCTRCTGGATAGCCAGGCCAGGGGAAGCCTGCAGCTCCCTAAGGAGCTTCCGAGGGTTTGCGCCTTGCCTGTCAGATCTGGAATGAGACTAGGAGCAGTGGAGGAGCCACGGGTGAATGAGGGGTGGGAAGGGGCTCAGCCSGAGCGCGGGGAGGGGTGAGGAGCTGTTCGTCCCCATGAGGAATGGAAACCTTGGCGCCCGGTTCCAATGCCGCGTTAACCCCCGAGCGCTTTTGTCTCCAACCCTGCTGAACCTGTTACCAAACCTGTTGCTGCAGTTCCCTGGCGTCCCTGGGAAGCCACGATCCTGACCGATCCTGACCGTGKTGCGGGGACAATCCGTGTTGGGAGGAGGGGATCGAGGGGCTCACGGTGCCCCAGGCCGCGGGGGAGGCGGCGGCCCCCGCCCTGGCCACAGCCGGGCCCCATCCCGGAGCGCTGGGAAAGCCGCGGGATGCGCGTGCCCTCCTGCTGCTCCGAGCAGAGGGAAGCGAGCTGCTTCCCTCTCCGTGTTTCCTGTCCATGTGCAAAGAGGAGCAGTAAAGGAGAAGCTTGAGGCGCAGAACCCATGGCCAGGGAGGGCTCGCGCGGCTGGTGGTGGGAGCAGTGTCCGGGGAGCGGGCACTGACGCCTCCGTCTTCTCCCAGCAGGGACCCGCGGAACCACGGCCGGGAGCTCCGGAGACGCCCTCGGCAAGGCACTAGCTTCAGTAAGAGCTGCCCTGCGTGCCGGCCTCCTCCCTGTCCCGGCCTGGGGCTCCCTGCTCCATCCTTCCCCGGAGAACGGGGACCCTCGAGGCAGGCGCAGGGAGGAGGTCACGAGAACCTTGGCGAAACCGCCCGCCCCAGAAACACAGCAGCTTCGGGGGGGTGACACGGGGTYCCCCCACGTTTTATTTCACCTGGGGGCTCTGTGCTGCCATCCTGCACCCTGGGGCTGCGGAAAAGCCGCTTTCAATGGGAAACGGAGGCAGCGGCCATTTAAAACGGCTGATGCAGCCCCATGTGCACCAGCCTGGCACTTAATTCTGAGCGCTGGCAGCGGGACACGCGGGTCCAGGGCTCCCTACTCCCAACGGAGGGTGCCCAAGGGACACTCCAGCCCCAGGGATGGCGACAAGGGGACAGAGAATGTTGTCATTGGGAAGGCAGAAGGRAAGGATGCGAGCATGGGGACGCGCMGGCCGGGAGGGTAGCAGCGGGGCGGGAGTGGGAAGTGCCAGGGATAGTGCCCTCTACGGAGCCCCAGGGCTGGGCGATGCTCACCCTGCCACACTTCTCTTGCTGCAGATTTACTCCCCGGATCACTCTAGCAATAACTTCTCCTCAAACCCCTCCACACCGGTCGGCTCCCCTCAGGGGCTTGCAGGTAGGTGAACGCCCTGCTCCTGACACGGAGACCTTGGAAAGATTTCCTTCCAGGAGGAAGCAGAGCGATTTCCACCCTGATTTCCAGCCCCGCCATGCTGTAAAAGTCAGAGCAACCCCCGGGGCTGAGGGACGGAGCCTGGGAGCAGCCAGGCCCTCTGGCTGCCTCCTCGCCCAGTCAATATAAATGTAAAGCCCTGGTGAGGTCCGGACATGGGCAGCGTGGGCAGCCTGTGCGCAGGGGCGTGCGGCCCCATGCAGCTCCCTGCAGCCCCCACAGCCCCATGCAGCTCCCTGCAGCCCCACGTGGCCCCATGCAGCTCCCTGCAGCCAGTGCAGCCCCATGCAGCCTCTGTGGCTCTGTGCAGCCTCATGTGGCTCAGTGCAGCCCCCTGCAGCCCCGCGCGGCCCCTCACAGCCCCGTGTGGCTCCCTGTGGCCCTCTGCAGCCCCTTGCATCTCCCTGCAGGCCTGCACAGCCCTGTGTGGCCCCATACAGCCCCACAGGGCTCCCTGCAGCCCCACATCGCGCCCTACAGCCCCTTGCATCTCCCTGCAGCCCCACACGGCTCCATGTAGCTCCCTGCAGCCCCTTGCAGCTCCCTGCAGCCCCTTGCAGCTCCCTGCAGCCACACGGGTCTCCCTGCACCCGCTTGCAGCTCCCTGCAGCCCCACAGGTCTCCCTGCATCCCCATGTGTCTCCCTGCAGCCCCACGTGTCTCCCTGCATCCCCACGGGTCTCCCTGCAGCCCCACGGGTCTCCCTGCGGCCCCTTGCAGCTCCCTGCAGCCCCTCGAGTCTCTCTGCAGCCCCACGGGTCTCCCTGCAGCCCCTTGCAGCTCCCTGCGGCCCCACGGGTCTCCCTGCAGCCCCACGCAGCTCCCTGCAGCCCCATGTGTCTCCCTGCAGCCCCACGGGTCTCCCTGCAGCCCCACGGGTCTCCCTGCAGCCCCACGTGTCTCTCTGCAGCCCCATGTGTCTCCCTGCAGCCCCACGGGTCTCCCTGCAGCCCCACGGGTCTCTCTGCAGCCCCTTGCAGCTCCCTGCAGCCCCACGCAGCTCCCTGTGGCCCCTTGCAGCTCCCTGCAGCCCCACGTGTCTCTCTGCAGCCCCACGTGTCTCTCTGCAGCCCCTTGCAGCTCCCTGCAGCCCCACGCAGCTCCCTGCAGCCCCACGGGTCTCCCTGCAGCCCCACGCAGCTCCCTGCAGCCCCACACAGCTCCCTGCAGCCCCACGGGTCTCCCTGCAGCCCCACGCAGCTCCCTGCAGCCCCACGCAGCTCCCTGCGGCGCGGCACGCCGGCTCCAGCCGCGCTGGCCGGGCCTGCAGCCCCACCTAGCGGCTGCGGGCCCCGGGCCGACCTCTCGCCCTGCTTGCAGGCACGTCGCAGTGGTCGCGGGCGAGCGCRCAGGGTGCCTTATCTCCCAGCTACGAAGGGAGCCTCCACACCTTGGTAGGTGCCGCCGAGCCCTCTCCCTGCCGCTCTTCTCAGGTGTTGGGGTGAACGGCTGAATAAACCCTCTCTGCAACTGCGAAGGGGTTCAGCAGACCGTGGGGAAGCACCTTTGGGTGCCGCATGCCGCCAGGCCAGCGCCGAGCGCCAGCCCCTTGGCGCCTTGTAGCCTGGTCCTGCCTTGCCCGTTTGCCCTGTTTCTGCTGCTCCTTGCAGAGCAGAGTCCCTTGTACAAGCCCTGGCCGTGCCCTTGCCCTCGGAGCCGGCCTCTGGCCCTGCTGGGACACTGCTTGTCCCCGTATCAACTGCCTGGCCGTGTGCTTGAGCTGCTGCCTTCGCCCGCCCTCACCATCCTCCCCCTCCTCGCAGCAGAACAAGATGGAAGACAGGTTGGACGAAGCCATCCACGTGCTGAGGAACCACGCGGTGGGCCAGACGGCCCCCATGGCCAGCAACCACGGCGACATGCACGGGCTGCTGGGCTCGGCGCCCGCGCACAGCGGCACCGTGGGCGGCCTGGGCCAGCCCTTCGCCCCGGCCGTCATGTCCCTGGGGAGCAGGCACCCGAGCCTGGTGAGTGCGGGGCCCTTGGTGGCCAGGGGGACGTTTCTGCTGTTGTGAGCAGCCCTATGGGGTGCAAGTTTAGCTTGGCTCGACTGGGACACATTTAAACGGGAGCCCGTGGCTGGGCCGCCCGGTGGGTGCAGGCACCCGAGATCCCCAGGGTTCCTGGAGGCCGTTCCCGCGGCACCACGTCCCGCTCTGCACGTGGGGATACTGGTACCTGAGGGCTGGTTGTGCTCCAGACGCCCCCGCGGCTCCGCTGGCGAGYGGCCCGGACGCAGCGAATGCCCTGGCATCCCCCTGTGAACGTGGGCATCCGAGCCCGCTCTGCGGCACCCATGGGGAGGGCGCCCCCAGGAAGGCCTAGGCTGAAGCGCTGCTGCTCGTAGGGTCCCCAGGCACTCAGGGCTGGGTGGTGACCCCTGGACAGCAGCACCCATGTGGTGCCATCCCACCTGCACTGCTCGTATGGCCCCCAGGTGTGCAGGGCTGGGCAATGTCCCCCAGACAGCCGCACCCATGCGGTGCCATCCCGTCTGCACTGCTCATAGGGTCCCCGGGCACTCAGGGCTGGACTGTGCCCCCTGGGATGGTGGCACCCGCGCGGTGCCGTCCCGCCCGCGCTGCTCGTAGGGTCCCCAGGCACTCAGGGCCGGGCTGTGCCCCCCCGGATGACGGTGCCCGCGCGGTGCCGACCTGCCCGCACTGCAGCTCACGCTGCTCCTTCGCCGCAGGTGGCGGGCGGTCACCCCGAGGACGGGCTCTCCGGCGGTGCCAACCTGCTGCACAACCACGTGGCGCTGCCCTCGCAGCCCAGCGCGCTGCCTGACCTCGGCCGCCAGCAGGACACGTACAGTGGTGAGGCCGCCCGCGCGTCGCGCCCGGGCCCTTCTGCCACGCGGGGGCCGGGGGGGTCGCGCCTCAGAGCCCCTTGCATGGGCTTCTGCTTTGACCCACGGGCTCCCGTCCTGCCTGCCAGGGCTCCTGGGCCCTTCCCTGCCGGGACGGAGCTCAGGCTCCAGCTCTGCAGCACGTGGGACCTGGGAGGCGGGTTGGTCGGGCCGGCCGGACCCAGGCACCCCACGGCCCCACGAGGGCCTGGAGCAGCGCGGCTGTCCTGGCTTCCTGCAGCCTCCGTGTGCGCGGCGCCGCTGCGGGAGCCCCGGCTCTGCAGGGCCTCGCGATCCCCGGCTTCGGCTGCTGGAGCYGGGGACTGGAGCCAGCACCCCAGGGCCCCCCATGCTCTGTGCGTCGGACACCTCCAAYGTGCGGCTCTGGTTCCTCACAGGCTTGTCGGGGGCGCTGGGGCGAAGCAGCGTCTCCTCGGGGACCAGCGAGATAAAGAGGGAGGAGAAGGAGGACGAGGAGAACACCTCGGTGGCCGATAACTCGGAAGAGGAGAAGAAGGAGCTGAAGCCGTCGCGGAACAGAACAAGGTGCTCTTTGAACAGGTCTCTCCCTTYGCTTACTCTGTTACTGTTGGGGCTGGGCTCCGGCTGCAGCCAGGGCACCCAGGGCAGCGCCCGCTCCTTCCTCCCGCCCTCCTCTGCCTCCTCGGGCACGGCTGGCCAGCCGGACCCATGGCAGCAGARCAGGCAGAGCCTCTGCAGTGCACAGGCTTGTCCCCAGCCCGGCCAGCGTGTCCGAGAGTGGCACAGCTCTCCCCCACACCTCCTGGCCATCRGGACAAGCCCTGGATTTGGGGTTTTTTTTTTTTGGTGGTTTCTCTGTTAAAAAAAAAAAATGCAAAGAACTAAGAGCCAGAAGAAGAGGAGTCTGAATTGCTTGTCTGCAAAGTGGCTGCGCGTCGCCGTGCGCGGGGCCCCGGGCCGGCGCTCGCTCTCTGAACATGTGTTTCTTTGCTGTGAGTTGACCAGTGCTGAGAGTGCACGCGAGGAATGTCCCTGTCTCGTTCTTATTTTAAACCATTAGTCAAGATGAGGATGAGGAGGACGATCTTCTTCCCCCAGAGCAAAAAGCCGAGAGAGAGAGAGAAAGGAGGGTCGCCAATAATGCCCGTGAGCGCCTGCGGGTCCGTGACATCAACGAGGCCTTTAAAGAGCTCGGACGCATGTGCCAACTGCACCTAAACAGCGAAAAACCACAGACCAAACTGCTAATCCTACACCAGGCCGTATCAGTCATACTGAACCTGGAGCAACAAGTTAGAGGTCAGTGAGGGTCCCGGAGTGGTGATATTTTACGTATCTGGTCGGCACGGGGCTGTCTGTCTGTCTGTCTCCTGTGACACGTGCTGTGGTGCCTCGCACTGTCTCTCTGCCCGTGGCCTTGGGTTCCCAAGGTTGCCGATGCCTTTTTTTGTTGTTGTTTTTATTTTTTTCCCGTTTTTGTTGTTTATTTTTCCTTCCTTTTTTTTGCATCACTGCTGTTCTCTTTGGTTCCTCGCTGCTGTCGCGTATGCTGCATGCCGGTCCCGGGGGGACCCGCGCTCCCCGCATGCGGAGGCTGCTCCAGCTTTCGCCCAGATTTGCAAAAAATAGCAAAAAAAAAAAAAAAAAGCGACAGGAGGGGAGGCAGAAGTGACGTCCCTCCAAGGGCTGCTCCCTTCCTCCATGCCCACGCTAAAGGGCATCCGCTCCGCYGGCGCTTCCAGGGCTTTGCCGGGCAGCTGGAAAACCCAAACCATGGGTGGCCAGGCAGGAGGCTGCCGGGCTGTGGGATGGAGAGCCGGAGAGCCGGGAGCGGCGCGGGCAGCTCCGGCGGGAGCCGTAACCCGCAGCGCGGTGCATGCCCGGCGCCCGTAACCCCCTTCTCTCTGCAGAGGCTGTTGTCACTCGCGCCCGTGGTTTGTGCCTGGCTCTGCTCCTCTCTGCTGGCCTCTGCTGTTGCATTGATGTTGGAGTCCTTTGTGCCTCTCTTCAGTTTGTAATTTTTTGCCTTTCATAACATGTATATTTTTTCCTATCTCTTTTTATTTAAAAAAAAAAAAGCCTTCCCCTTCCTTTTATTYATTTTATTTTATTTTTTTGGTTCTGTTCTTTCTGATCTCCTACAGACAGTCCCCAGCCGTGACCTCTCGGTGGTCCCACTCTCTACCTTGTACTTGCTGCTTGCTCACCAAGACAGAGCCCGGGGGCGGTGGGCGGGCAGGGCCAGGCACAGTTGGCACTGTGGTCACTTTGTGGTCACTTTGGTCTCCCACGCTTGTCCCTTTTTAACCCCTTCCCGGCCGCAGCGCAGGGGCTAAGGCGGCCTCCGGCCTCCCTGCGCTGCGGCCGCGTGGTGGGAGAGGAGCAGGAGAGGGCCCTGGCGCTGGGCATGGAGCYCAAGCGGGCACCTCGTGGCCACCAGGCAGCCAAGGAAGGGGAAGCAGCAGCTCAGCGGGGCTGTGGGGGGACAGGCCGCCCTGTTTCACGTCCCACCCCGGTCACTTGGGGGTCCCAGCTTTGCCCTGCAAACCTGGTCGCCCCCACAGCGCTCACCTGCAGCTGGAGCCGGCTCTGTCCTGCCCGGCTGGGACAGGAACCTGCCAGGAACCTGCCGGGAATCTGCCGGCCTTCGTGCCGAGCAGACGGGAAGGAGCCGGGTTCCTGCCCAGGCGAGCGCGTGACGGGGCCGGGAGGGCGGCAGCCCTTCCCATCCCAGCCGGAGCATCCTCGGGGCGTCCCAGGGACGGTTCCGTGCGGTGCAGGGGCACCCCGAGCAGCGAGGGCCACAGGAAGGGCCAGGGCATCAGGAAGGGCCACAGGCAGGACCAGGACACCAAGAGGGGACACAGGCAAGGCCAGGGCATCAGGAGGGGACACAGGCATGACCAGGACACCAAGAGAGGACACAGGCAAGGCCAGGGCATCAGGAGGGGACACAGGTGGGACCAGGACACCAGGAGGGGACACAGATGGGACCAGGGCACCGAGGACCCTCCATTGGGCACAGGCTGCCCCGGGCAGCCCTGGCCTCCCCCCGCRCCGCTGGGCACAGCCAGAGGCTCTTCCCCCCGGGAAGGCTTCGCTTCCGCGGCCCCCCTTGGCTGAAGCATCACCCTGGAGCCGCAGGTCGCGCAGGACCCTCTTGGCGCAGCGTTTTTCCTAGGAGAATTTTTGCTCTGGAGGAGAAGGTCGTCCGTAAATTGGGGTGCGGAGGGGCCGGGCCCGGCGGGAGGTGCTGCCAGCGGGGCCCTGCCTGCCCTCCCGCTGCGCGGGACGGTGCCGGCGCCCGAGCTCCGACTCGCCCCGTCCAGGCTGCCCTTCAGCCATTTGGCTCCGCGGAAAGCCCCGGATGGAGTTTCGCCCTCCGGGACTAACYGAGGGTGCCAGGGCCATTTTGCCACAGATGGGATTTTTGCAGCAAATCTTCCCCAAACRCCAAGTTTGCCTGTGGCAGCAGTGGGGAAAAACCCCAGTGCGTTTGGCCTGAGCACCCCGGAGCTTGGGCCGAGAAGCCGGGCGCCGTGGCGGGGAGAAGCCCCCGCGCCGGCGCTGGCAGCACCTCGGGGCGCCGGCGGCACCATTGGCTCTGCGGGCGCGAGGCCGTTTGGGCCGTTCGCAGCGGACACCAGGAGCACTCCCAGCACGGCAACCAGGCGCCCCCGTGTCGCTGCACCCCCTGACTAACCCCTGTGGTGCTGTGAACCCAGCAGTACAGACGAGGCCCTGTCACTGGAGGACAAAGATCTGAGGGACCGGGAGAGGAGAATGGCCAATAACGCCAGGGAAAGGGTGCGTGTGCGGGACATAAACGAGGCCTTTAAAGAACTGGGACGCATGTGTCAGATGCACTTAAAAACGGACAAAGCGCAGACCAAACTGATCATCCTACAGCAAGCGGTGCAGGTCATTCTGGGCCTGGAGCAGCAAGTACGAGGTATGGACCCGGCGGCCAGGAGCCTGGCGGGGCTTGCGCCTCCCCTCCCGCGCGCGGCCCCGCAGCTCCCGTGCCCGCCCCGCCGCCTTCCCGCGGGATCCGGCGCTCCCGCATCCCGCCGAGCAGCTTTGGAGAGCTCGGGGCCGGCCCCAGGGCGCTGCGGACGCGGATGCGGGGCGGCCGCCGGCCCCGCCGCCCCTCGGTGCCGCCGCCGCGCGCCCCCAGCTCCCCCACTGCTCTCTTTGGCCCAGAGCGCAACCTGAACCCGAAAGCCGCCTGCTTGAAGCGGCGGGAAGAGGAGAAGGTGTCCGGAGTGGTGGGAGATCCCCAGATGACGCTCGCAGCTTCCCATCCTGGTCTAGGAGATGGTCACAACCCCGTGGGACACATGTGAAGGTACCGCCCCGGCGCGGCGCGTCGCCCCCGGTGCGTCGGTGGGAATTGAGCTGCTCGTGCCTTCCACCCGCACCTCAACCCGGCTGCTCCCGGATGCGCCGTCGGGAATCCATGTATTCCCCGCGGGAGCGGCCGCCCGGGCGCTCCGTGGCCCTGACGCTCCCCTGTGTCCCGTTTCCTTGCAGCTCCTGTCGTTCCTCTGGGATACAGAGATGCGCAGGAGGAGCAGACCCTCGGCGTGACCTGCAGCCTTCCCGAACCATAAACTTTAGTACTGCAAATACTGACACACGTGGACRGATCCCGGCGTGACGTAAGGGGTGGAAAAGCGAAACGAAAAAAACACTTTTTTGTCAAAACGAAAACAAAAAATTGCCTTAAGTATAAAGTGCGGAACAGTCAATACATATCACTCAGTTAGGAGGGGTGGCGTGTTCTCTTGGCTTGTTCACAAGCAGCCAGCAGCAAAATTGTGCCTAAGCTTAATATTTCTTTTTTTTTAAAAAAAAGAACATTAGTTATGAGATTTTTTATGTAGAACAAATAGCGATGCCTTTTGGGTTTTTTTTTAGCTTCTTTTGCATATGTTTTGTAAGCAACGAAAAAGATTTTTTTTTTTTTGTATAAAAAAAAAATGTCTTGTACCCCCCGCCCCTGCTTTTCTGCTGCTGTTTCTATAGTTAACGTTGCATCTTTAGGATCAACCAGAATATTAAAATTGTATTAAGAGAGACTGGATATAAAGAGAGGAATTCTCAGATTGGGCTCCGAAAGCCACTAAAAGCGAATGTAGCCCCGGCAAGGGGGGGTTTCCTTGCCTGGCTTGTACCTTCCATTGCAAACAAGCACCAAACCCCCGTGCGGATTCAGCTCTCCGCTCTGGCCGCTTCGGCTTCCACCGAGGTTGGATGAGAGCAGCGTCCCGGCAGCGCCGGCTCCTGCCGGGCCCTCTCCGAGCCCGCGCTCCACACGGGTCTCCCGGCGGATCCCGGAGGCCGGGATGCAGGAGGCGAAGGCGCGAGGACGCGATCGGACGGGCGAGGAGCAGCGAGGGACCGGGGCTGCCCGGGAAGCGACACGGAGCAAGAATGTCTCCAAAGCCTCCTCGGAAGCGGCGTCAGCACCGTGGCCTTGCCAAGGGACACGCTGGGGACGTGGCCGCCGGCACCTGGGCCCCTCTCCCGGCATGGGGGCAGCGAGTGTCTTGTCCCAGCGAGACGCGCCTGGTGGCCGAGCACAGACAACGTTCCCGTCTCTCCGAGGGCTTCCCRGTGCCGCTGCACACAGCCCCTAGGAGGAGGCCCTGGCAGCGCCTGCAGCCATGCCGAGCGGACACAGCTCGCGCCGGGAGAGCGTTGGAAGGGCCACCGAGCGCTGGGAGAACGTCGGGAACCACTTCCGAGCACCGGGAGAGCATCAGAATGGCCACCAAGCGCCGGGAGAGCATCGGAATGGCCGCAGAGTGCCGGGAGAGCGTCGGAACGGCCATCAAGCACCGGGAGAGGGTCAGAAGTGCTGCCGAGCACCAGGAGAGCGTCGGAACCATGTCCGAGTGCCAGGAGAGCGTCGGGAGTGCTTCCGAGCACCGGGAGAGCGTTGGAAGCGCCGCTGAGCGACAGGAGAGCCCCTGTGGCTGAGGTTTCCGCTGCAGCTGCGGAGGCGCCGGAGGCTCCCGGCTCCCTGAGGCTGCCGCTCCCGTGGGCACCAGCCCCGGTGCCCGAGCTCCCGCTCGGCCGTTGAGCCGCGTGGACCCGGCCCTTCCAACACCTCCCTCAGGCTGTTCCTCCTGCTCGGGACGTGGATGAGGGCTGAGCTGCGGGGCGGCCCGTGGGGACGGTGCGGGAGGGGACAGCGCTGCCCACGAGCCGGGCCCCGGCGCTCCGGGATCCAGGATCCGCGCTGGGAAAGAGGCTGTCGGGAAGAGGTGGCTTCAGCAGCAGCACTCGCRCTGCGGCCGGGATGGCTCCTGCCGCTCCGGCCTTCCCGCCGCCCCTGGTCCAAATTCTCCCTTCCGGAGGACCAGGGAAGGGAGGGAGCAACGTCCGAGCTTGGAGAGCGTGAAACCATATGGAAAAAAAAAAAAAAAA